TTTTTTCAATAACAGACTATGTCAAGAAGCGAACCCACATTAATCCTTTTAATAGTGTTTCAAGACAGGAATAATTCAGGACCCGAATAATTCAGGACAGGAATAATTCAGGACCACAGATGTGGTCTCCTCACCTCAAAAAAGATATTTTGGCCTTGGAAAGGGTTCAGAAAAGGGCAACTAAAATGATTAGGGGTTTGGAACGGGTCCCATATGAGGAGAGGTTAAAGCAACTGGGACTTTTCAGTTTAGAAAAGAGGAGACTGAGGGGGGATATGATAGAGATCTATAAAATCATGAGTGGTGTGGAGAGGGCCGATAAAGAAAAGTTATTTATTAGTTCCCATAATAGAAGAACTAGAGGACACCAAATGAAATTAATGGGTAGCAGGTTTAAAACTAATAAAAGAAAGTTCTTCTTCACACAGCGTGTAGTCAACCTGTGGAACTCCTTGCCAGAGGAGGCTGTGAAGGCTAACACTATAAGGGTATGTCTACACTACAGAGTTAGTCCGAACTAATGGACGTTAGTTCGAACTAACTTTCATAGGCGCTACACTAAGGGAGGGATGGCAGGAGACAAATCGCTTGATCATTGTCTTCGGTCCACCCTCTCTGGGGCACCTGGTGCTGGCCACTGTTGGTAGACAGGATACTGGGCTAGATGGACCTTTGGTCTGACCCAGTACGGCTGTTCTTATGTTCTTATGACCCTGATTCAGAGCTCCACAACTTAAAAGGTTCACAAAACCAACTCTGAGATTAGACTCCTGGGGTATGTCTAGACTACATGGCTCCGTCGATGGAGCCATGTAAACTAGTTTACCCAACATAGTCAATGAAGCAGGGATTTAAATAATCCCCACTTCCTTAAAATAAAAATGACCGCTGCGCTGTGCTGACAATCAGCTGATCCTGCACAGCGCAGCAGTCTAGACGTGGATTGGTCGACAAGGGAAGCCTTTGTTGACCGCTCCTCTAAACCTCTTTGACAGACCCAAGTAGTCTAGACACACCCCTGGAGTCAGAGTGAAACCCACAGCCACAGGAGCCTACATGGCTTCTACTCTCTTCTCTCCTACTTAGCTGGAGCTTCCTGTTCCTTTCCGGTTTAAACATCTCTACCCTTGGTTGGGGCAGGGCCTTCTTGATTATACTTCTGGCTGTCCTGGTCTTGGCTGCAGCCCATCCCTTAAAGAACAGTGCACTCCTACACAGTCTCCTGCACATTTAATATTGCTTTCTTTAGTAATGTGCTATGAAAAAAATGGCTAAAAATCTAAGTAGGTTAAATAATGTTATGGGGATCCATGGGTACTCAAGATTTGTCAGAATGCCTTCATCACATCTCAGAGGAAACGAAATACCTATTCACTGTATCTTTAGGATGGTTACTAAAATTACTCAGTTCACAGCTGTGCACTTAGTTTGGTACTAGATGCTCTATAACTCAGTGGGGAATGGAAGGAGAGTGAGGCAGAGAAAGAGACAGAGATTAACTGAGAAGCCTTTTCACAGAGCTGATTTCTTTTGCACCCTGTATATAATAGTTTTGGGAGAATTCTCCAGTTGTTGCATTTGAAGCCATAGTAAAATTGCAGACTTCCCCCAAGACTGATACATCTGTGAAAAGGTAAGGTAAGGTTTTGTTTTTGCAATTTCTCCGAGAAGACTCCCAAAGAAGAGTTTCTGGATAAGCAGAGAAGCTATATTTGGGGTAATACTATTCTAGAACTACTCTTGGTTAAGGACCAATATTATTGCTATTAAGAAGACAATTTACTTTAAAGCTTGTTTTCCTAACTATACATTATAGATTTTCCTCGTGTGTACTGTCTACATAGAGGAGGAGGCATGTTATGTCTAGTCTTTGCAGACAGTGTAAGGGAAGAGGCTCAAGAAGCTTTTCTCCTTACCCCTTTTGCCCCTCTTTTCAGAGGCCACCAGTAACTACAATCTTTATGTAGTCCTGAAGAATAAGGAAAAGGCAGAGAAGAGGTGGGGCTTTGCCTCCCCACCTCTGACATCAGTTAGCTGAGCTGGTCAGCTGGAGGGAGGCACATACTCCAGTCCAGCCTCTTAAAGGTAGGCTCACAGTAGATGCGAGCTAGCAAGCTCTATTAAGTAAACTATCTCTTGGCCTAGGGTCAGATGGTTCTACACTGCCCCTATGCCAGGGCTGGACCCTAAAGGCATAATACGATCCTAAATAAGTATGTGCAGTTGCTCTATTCATATTCAATAGTCTTCTGAATTTGTTTTAATTTAATTCTGAGGCAATAGTTTTTCATGTTAAAACTTTGAAGAAATGTGAATTTTTATTTAAACTCTTGCTGTGCCTTGTCTTAGGGAACAGTACATTGAAAAAAAGAGGTATAGTATAGCTTCTGAAACACATTCTACAAACAGAGAGATCATGGAGACAATCATTTAAGTGTGGTTCTGCTCTGAGGACTGTCTTAGTAAAAGAGACATCACATGATTCCAAATTTATTATCTCTCAATGATCTCTGTATCGAATAAGATTAGTTTACAAGTACAAATGTCTTTTCTAGCTGCCAGCTCAGCAATCTCAACCTGGGATTTGAAAGTCAATCTGGGTTCTTTCCATCTCATACATCTTCTTCTTCAGTGATAAAGGTTCAATGGGGACAAATCAGATCTTAGTTACACCTATTCAAATCCTGTGCGTTCAAATGATGTCCTTGGTGAAACCTGTGCAAACATGTTGATTGTGATATTCAAAGATAGCTAGGAATCAGAACTGGCAGATGCTTATGATAACATTGATCATTTTGAATGGTAAGCCTATACATAAATTTAAGATCAGAATGTTAGGCAACGAATCTTAAAAATGCTGAACTATGTGCACCCAGGATCCCTGACTCGAAGAGAAGTATACTTTTCAGGTTAAAAGAAAAAAAAGTAAAATGTGTTCTCAAAACGAATGTGTTTGTTAAAAAAAGAGATCTATAATCAACTTATTCTTAGTTTTCAGTGTTTACAAACTGGTTTAAAAGAAGGCTTCCTTTATAATCTTGAAATTCTGTTTTTCTTCTATTTCTAAAGACTCAATCCTGCCATACGTACTCAGGCAAAAGTCCTATTGAAGTCAAAGACTGAGTAAGGACTGCAGAATTTGGCCGTATGTCAAAATAGCCCAACACACACTGTGCTAAGATTAACGAAACAAAGTAAGTAAGGCAGCTATGACTTGGCACAACATTTGACAAGCTGCAAAAAAGCAAATGTTTAAGTAACTGAAGTGGTACTGATTTTCTATTCACAACCTTTTCTCTTCTAAACAGTATCATATTCTTTTCCCGCACATTTTGATTGCAAGTCAAGCTGTGTTTTATTTTTTATTATAATAAACCCAGTCAGTATACTGTAACAAAGACATGCTAGTGGTGACCAGTGTGAAAACCACTGTGAAGCCAAGTTAGTAAAAAGGTCAAATGATAAAATAAACAATCAGCCATCTGGAAAGTTCTTGAAACACATAAAAAGAAAATAAAAGACAGCATTCGTAAGAGACTAACAGAATTCAAAAAAATATTTCAGATAGGGCTCTCTCTCTGATATCTATGACATTTTCTAATCACTAGTAACAAATCTTTCCATCTAATGATAAATATTTTATATGTTCTGTCACAAACAATACTGGAGTTCTTTTTTAAAAAATAGTTAAAAAGTGCCTTATATGAATGTTTCTTCGATTAGATAAAATAGAATAACATTTAGATTTCTGCTGAACTAATTTTCCAGAAACATGTTTTAAAATATTTTTTTAAAATTTTCCTAAAAAATGTTCACTACATATAAACTACACATGATACTTAGAATAAACTGAATATTTGAATAAAAAGTTTTATATATGAAAACAACCGTTTTTGTGAAGTTTGAAACACATGGCCATTCACAAAAATAATTTAAGCTGAAGAATCTTACCATACTTTGAATTAATGATCTTTCCTTTTCAAGTTCCATCTTTGTTATTTCCTGAGCTTCGATTAACTAAAAATGAAAGCATAAGAAATAATACTGCAATTTAGATTACAGGCAGGTAGAATTCTTCCAACAGCCTTTCTAAATATAATTTACCAAAGAAAATATAGCATGTATATAACATAACAAATAACAGGGAGGCATCTTGGCAAAAACAAATATGACAGTGCATTAGGAATGCCCAGGCAGAATGTGCAATTCACACATCAAACATTCACACTTTAATTTTAGATTGAACACACACTCCATGTGCATACAACATGCCCAAGAGCAGATCTCTAGAGAACCACAGGTTAAAATGGAGGGCTCTCTAAAATCAGCTTTCTGAGATAAACCTTATGGCCTTGATAAAAAGTGAATGAAGTTATAAAGTTATGAACACAGTCAAAAGAATGATGCTTCATGGCTCTGGTGGAGGAGGGAGCCTGTCTAGGAAATCTACACCACTTGTGAAGCATAAAGAATGGGTATAGAGTAGCGGTTCCCAACCGCTGATCTACGGATCAGTGGCAGGTCATAAGAACATAAGAATGGCCATATTGGGTCAGAACAATGGTCCATCAAGCCCAGTATCCTGTCTGCCAACAGTAGCCAATACCAGATGCCCCAGAGGGAGGAAACGCAACAAGGTAATCCTCACGTGATCCCTCCCCCGTCACTCACCTCCAAAGAAACAGAGGCTAGCGACACCATCTCTATCCATCCTGGCTAATAGCTATTGATGGACCTAATCTCCATGAATCTATGTAGCTCTTTTTTGAACCCTGTCACAAACCCCTGTCTGCTGAGCCATGGCATACTGCCAGGACACGCCCCCAGATGCTAATGAGCCCGCCCGCTGGGGTTCCCCATGATGCAACAGGGTGAGTGGACCAGCAGACAACTGGGTGTACTGCAGCTGAAGCCGCGGCCTCAGTGAGGTTGTCTCTACTGGTGCATTTTCAATGTAGCCCCAGTTCCACCTCCGGTGGTTGCATGATGGGCAGCTGCAGTGCTCAGCCAGGGCTGAGCGCCACGGTAGCCAGGACCCTGATGAGCGCCACAGAAGCTGGGCTCCATGCAGCGCTCAGCAAGGGCCCAATTGCCACGGCGCTTAGCAGGGGTCTGGCACACTGCAGGATATGTGTAGCCCTCCTGCCACATAGGAAAGTGCTCTGTGCTCAGCTGGTGGCCGGGATGCAGCGGCAGGGGGAGGTGAGGGGGGTG